CAGACTCAGCACTGAGACCCACAGACTCAGCACTGAGACCCACAGACTCAGCACTTCAACAACGCCAGGTCCTTCTACCGCCTCGACCGCACCTGGCTCAGCGGACTCGTCTTCATGCTCGCCGGTAAACCACGAGGGGGGGCAGTGGTGGTGGTGGTAGTGCTGCTGAGACATCTCTCTGGGGAGATCCACAGACTCAACACTGCCACAGACACAGCCATGAGAGGCGTAGACTCAGCGCTGAGACCCACAGACTCAGCGCTGAGATCCGTAGACTCAACGTTGAGATCCATCAGAATCAGTGCTGAGATCTGTAGACTCAGCGCTGAGATCTGTAGACTCAACACTGAGAACCACAGACTCAGCGTTGAGATCCGTAGACTCAGCGCTGAGATCCATCAGAATCAGCGCTGAGATCTGTAGACTCAACACTGAGACCCACAGACTCAACACTGAGACCCACAGACTCAACACTGAGAGCCGTAGACTCAACACTGAGACCCACAGACTCAACACTGAGACCCACAGACTCAACACTGAGAGCCGTAGACTCAACACTGAGACCCACAGACTCAACACTGAGACCCACAGACTCAGCACTGAGACCCACAGACTCAGCACTGAGACCCACAGACTCAGCACTGAGATTCACAGACTCAGCACTGAGACCCACAAACTCAGCACTGAGACCCACAGACTCAACACTGAGACCCACAGACTCAACACTGAGACCCACAGACTCAACACTGAGACCCACAGACTCAACACTGAGACCCACAGACTCAACACTGAGACCCACAGACTCAGCACTGAGACCCACAGACTCAGCACTGAGACCCACAGACTCAACACTGAGACCCACAGACTCAACACTGAGACCCACAGACTCAACACTGAGACCCACAGACTCGACACTGAGACCCACAGACACAGCGCTGAAACCCACAGACTCAACACTGAGACCCACAGACTCAACACTGAGACCCACAGACTCAGCACTGAGACCCACAGACTCAACACTGAGACCCACAGACTCAACACTGAGACCCACAGACTCAACACTGAGACCCACAGACACAGCGCTGAAACCCACAGACTCAACACTGAGACCCACAGACTCAACACTGAGACCCACAGACTCAGCACTGAGACCCACAGACTCAACACTGAGACCCACAGACTCAGCACTGAGACCCACAGACTCAGCACTGAGACCCACAGACTCAACACTGAGACCCACAGACTCAACACTGAGACCCACAGACTCAACTGAGACCCACAGACTCAACACTGAGACCCACAGACAGCGCTGAAACCCACAGACTCAACACTGAGACCCACAGACTCAACACTGAGACCCACAGACTCAGCACTGAGACCCACAGACTCAACACTGAGACCCACAGACTCAACACTGAGACCCACAGACTCAACACTGAGACCCACAGACACAGCGCTGAAACCCACAGACTCAACACTGAGACCCACAGACTCAACACTGAGACCCACAGACTCAGCACTGAGACCCAGACTCACACTGAGACCCACAGACTCAACACTGAGACCCACAGACTCAACACGAGACCACAGACTCAGCACTGAGACCCACAGACTCAGCACTGAGACCCACAGACTTAACACTGAGACCCACAGACTCAGCACTGAGACCCACAGACTCAGCACTGAGACCCACAGACACAGCACTGAGGCCCAGAGACTCAACACTGAGACCCACAGACTCAACACTGAGACCCACAGACTCAGCACTGAGACCCACAGACTCAGCACTGAGACCCACAGACTTAACACTGAGACCCACAGACTAACACTGAGACCCACAGACTCAGCACTGAGACCACAGACTCAGCACTGAGACCCACAGACTCAACACTGAGACCCACAGACTCAACACTGAGACCCACAGACTCAGCACTGAGACCCACAGACTCAGCACTGAGACCCACAGACTTAACACTGAGACCCACAGACTCAACACTGAGACCCACAGACTCAACACTGAGACCCACAGACTCAGCACTGAGACCCACAGACTCAGCACTGAGACCCAGAGACTCAACACTGAGATCCACAGACTCAGCACTGAGACTCACAGACTCAGCACTGAAACCCACAGACTCAACACTGAGACCCATAGACTCAGCGCTGAGACCCACAGACTCAGCACTGAGACCCACAGACGAAGCATTGAGACCCACAGACTCAACGCTGAGACCCACAAACTCAACACTGAGACCCACAAACTCAACACTGAGACCCACAAACTCAGCACTGAGACCCACAGACTCAGCACTGTCACCCACAGACTCAACACTGCACCATAGACTCAACACTGCCACCCATAGACTCAACACTGCACCATAGACTCAACACTGCACCATAGACTCAACACTGCATAGACTCAACACTGAGACCCATAGACTCAACACTGCCCCATAGACTCAACACTGCACCATAGACTCAACACTGCACCATAGACTCAACACTGCACCATAGACTCAACACTGCACCACAGACTCAACACTGAGACCCACAGACTCAACACTGAGACCCACAGACTCAACACTGAGACCCACAGACTCAGCACTGAGACCCACAGACTCAGCACTGAGACCCACAGACTCAACACTGAGACCCACAGACTCAACACTGAGACCCACAGACTCAACACTGAGACCCACAGACTCAACACTGAGACCCACAGACACAGCGCTGAAACCCACAGACTCAACACTGAGACCCACAGACTCAACACTGAGACCCACAGACTCAGCACTGAGACCCACAGACTCAACACTGAGACCCACAGACTCAACACTGAGACCCACAGACTCAACACTGAGACCCACAGACACAGCGCTGAAACCCACAGACTCAACACTGAGACCCACAGACTCAACACTGAGACCCACAGACTCAGCACTGAGACCCACAGACTCAACACTGAGACCCACAGACTCAACACTGAGACCCACAGACTCAACACTGAGACCCACAGACTCAGCACTGAGACCCACAGACTCAGCATGAGGACCCACCGACTCAACACTGAGACCACATGACTCAGCCACTGAGACCCAGAGCCTCAGCACTGAGCCCTCACCCAGATCCGCACTGAGGCCCCACAGACTCAACACTGAGACCCATAGACTCAGCACTGAGACCCACAGACTCAGCATTGAGACCCACAGACTCAACACTGAGACCCACAAACTCAACACTGAGACCCACAAACTCAGCACTGAGACCCACAGACTCAGCACTGTCACCCACAGACTCAACACTGCACCATAGACTCAACACTGCCACCCATAGACTCAACACTGCACCATAGACTCAACACTGCACCATAGACTCAACACTGCACCATAGACTCAACACTGCAATATAGACTCAACACTGAGACCCATAGACTCAACACTGCCCCATAGACTCAACACTGCACCATAGACTCAACACTGCACCACAGACTCAACACTGAGACCCACAGACTCAACACTGCACCAAAGACTCAACACTGCACCATAGACTCAACACTGCACCATAGACTCAACACTGCACCATAGACTCAACACTGCACCATAGACTCAACACTGCACCACAGACTCAACACTGAGACCCACAGACTCAACACTGCCCCATAGACTCAACACTGCTCATAGACTCAACACTGAGACCCATAGACTCAACACTGCCCCATAGACTCAACACTGCACCACAGACTCAACACTGAGACCCACAGACTCAACACTGAAACCCACAGACTCAACACTGAGACCCATAGACTCAGCGCTGAGACCCACAGACTCAGCACTGAGACCCACAGACTCAACATTGAGACCCACAGACTCAACGCTGAGACCCACAAACTCAGCACTGAGACCCACAGACTCAGCACTGTCACCCACAGACTCAACACTGCACCATAGACTCAACACTGCACCATAGACTCAACACTGCCACCCATAGACTCAACACTGCACCATAGACTCAACACTGCACCATAGACTCAACACTGCACCATAGACTCAACACTGCAATATAGACTCAACCCTGAGACCCATAGACTCAACACTGCCCCATAGACTCAACACTGCCCATAGACTCAACACTGAGACCCACAGACTCAGCACTGAAACCCACAGACTCAACACTGAGACCCATAGACTCAGCGCTGAGACCCACAGACTCAGCACTGAGACCCACAGACTCAACATTGAGACCCACAGACTCAACGCTGAGACCCACAAACTCAGCACTGAGACCCACAGACTCAGCACTGTCACCCACAGACTCAACACTGCACCATAGACTCAACACTGCACCGTAGACTCAACACTGCACCAAAGACTCAACACTGCACCACAGACTCAACACTGCACCATAGACTCAACACTGCACCATAGACTCAACACTGCACCGTAGACTCAACACTGCACCAAAGACTCAACACTGCACCACAGACTCAACACTGCACCAAAGACTCAACACTGCCCATAGACTCACCTCTCCCCTCCCCCCTCCTCCCTCCCGCCCCCCCCCCCTCTCCCCCCTCCCCCCTCCCCATCCCCCCCAGCCCTGCTGGTGGCTCTGGCCTTGGCCGTCTATTCTGCGAGTGCCGCCAACGTCCATGCTAAGCGCTTCACCGACTGGAGGTTCTCATGGTCGTACTTCATCAGCTGGGCCGCGCTAATGCTCACCTTCATGGCGGGTAAATCACGTACTCACTCACTCACTCACCAACTCACTCACTCACCAGCTCACTCACTCACTCACCAGCTCACTCACTCACCAGCTCACTCATTCACTCACCCACTCACCCACTCACTCACTCACTCACCAACTCACTCACTCACTCAGCCACTCACTCACCAGCTCACTCACCAACTCACTCACTCACCTTCATGGCGGGTAAACCACGTACTCACTCACTCACTCACCCACTCACTCACTCACTCACCCACTCACTCACTCACCAACTCACTCACTCACCTTCATGGCGGGTAAACCACGTAAACTATGTACTCACTCACTCACTCTCCTATTCACTCACTCACTCAGCCACTCACTCACTCAGCCACTTACTCACTCACCCACTCACTCACCCACTCACTCACTCACCCTTCATGGCGGGTGAGACACTCACTCACCAGCTCACCAGCTCACTCACTCACTCACCCACTCATTCACTCACCCACTCACTCACCCACTCACTCACCACTCACTCACCTTCATGGCGGGTAAACCACGTACTCACTCACTCACCCACTCACTCACCAGCTCACTCACTCACTCACCCACTCACTCACTCACCCCACTCACTCACCCACTCACTCACCAACTCACTCACTCACCTTCATGGCGGGTAAACCACGTACTCACTCAATCACCAGCTCACTCACTCACCCACTAACTCACCAGCTCACTAGCTCACTCACCAGCTCACTCACTCACCCACTCACCACTCACTCACCAAATCACTCACTCACCCACTCACCACTCACTCACCAGCTCACTCACCCCACTCACCCACTCACTCACTCACCAACCACTCACTCACCCACTCACTCACTCACCAACTCACTCACTCACTCACCCACTCACTCACTCCACTCAGCCACTCCATCAGCAACTCATCCACGCACCCATCACCCACTCACTCACCCACTCACTCACTCACCTTCATGGCGGGTGAGACACTCCACTCACTCACTCACCAGCTCGCTCACCAGCTCACCCACTCACTCACTCACCCATGACTCACCCACTCACTCACCCACTCACTCACTCACCTTCATGGCGGTAAACCACGTACTCACTCACTCACCCACTCACTCACCAGCTCACAATCACCACTCACTCACCCACTCACTCACTCACCCACTCACTCACTCACCCACTCACTCACCCACTCACTCACCAACCACTCACTCACCTTCATGGCGGGTAAACCACGTACTCACTCACTCACCAGCTCACTCACTCACTCACTCACCTACTCGCTCACCAGTCATAGCTCACTCCCAGCTCACTCACTCACCACTCACTCACCACCCCTCACTCACCAACTCATCACTCACCACTCACCACTCACTCCACCAGCTCACTCACACTCATACCAAACTCACTCACTCACCCACTCACCACTCACTCACCAGCTCACTCACCCACTCACCCATCACTCACTCACCAACTCACTCACTCACCACCACTCACCACACTCACCTACTCACTCACCAACTCCACTCACTCACCCACTCACCACTCACTCACTCACTCACCTTCATGGCGGGTAAACCACGTACTCACTCACTCACCCACTCACTCACCAGCTCACTCACCCACTCACTACCACTCACTCACTCACACCCTCCACTCACTCACTCACTCACTCACCCACTCACTCACTCACCTTCATGGCGGGTAAACCACGTACTCACTCACTCACCCACTCCACTCACTCACTCACCAGCTCACCACTCACTCACCCACTTCACTCACTCACCCACTCACTCACCCACTCACCCACTCACTCACTCACTCACCAACTCACTCACTCACCAGCTCACTCACTCACCCACTCACCACTCACTCACCAGTTCACTCACCTTCATGGCAGATAAGACACTCACTCACCAGCTCACTCACCAGCTCACTCACCAGCTCACCACTCACTCACCTTCATGGCGGGTAAACCACTCACTCACCCACTCACCCCACTCACTCACTCACCCACTCACTCACTCACCCAGTCACTCACTCACCCACTCACTCACTCACTCACCCACTCACTCACTCACTCACCCACTCACTCACTCACTCACCCACTCACTCACTCACCTCACCTCACCCACTCACTCACTCACACACCAACCTCACTCACTCACCTTCATGGCGGGTGAGACAACTCACCAGTTCACTCACCAGCTCACTCACTCACTAGCTCACTCACTCACCACCTCACTCACTCACCAGCTCACTCACTCACTCACCAACTCACTCACTCACCAGCTCACTCACCAGCTCACTCACTCACTAGCTCACTCACTCACAATCACTACTCACTCACTCACCAGCTCACTCACTCACTCACCAACTCACTCACTCACGAGCTCACTCACTCACTCACCTGCTCACTCACTCACCAGCTCACTCATTCACTCAGCCACTCACTCACCAGCTGACTCACTCACCAGCTCACTCACTCACCAGCTCACTCACTCAGCCACTCACTCACTCACCTTCATGGCGGGTGAGAAACTTACTCACCAGCTCACTCACGCACTCACCAGCTCACTCACCCACTCACTCACTCACTCACCTTCATAGCGGGTGAGATGCTCACTCACCAGCTCACTCAATCACCAGCTCACTCACCAACTCACTCACTCACCCACTCACTCACCCACTCACAGACACACTCACTCACTCATTCACTCACTCACTGACCCACTCACTCCCCACCCACTCACTCACTCACCCACTCACTCACCCACTCACTCACTCACCCACTCACTCACCCCACTCACTGACACACTCACTCACTCATTCACTCACCTCACTGACCCACTCACCCACCCACCCACTCACTCTCCCACCCACCCACCCACTCACCCACTCACTCACTCACCCACTCACTCACCCACTCACCCACTCACTCACTCACCCACTCACTCACCCACTCACCCACTCACTCACTCACCCACTCACCCACCCTCACTCACTCACTCACTCACTCACCCACTCACCCACTCACTCACCCACTCACCCACTCACTTCACCCACTCACTCACCCACTCACTCACCACACTCACCCCACTCACTCACCCCACTCACTCACTCACCCACTCACCCACCCACCCACTCACCCACTCACTCACCCACTCACCCACTCATTCACCCACTCACCCACTCACTCAGCCACTCACCTGCTCACTCACTCACCCACCCACTCACCCACTCACTGACACACTCACTCATTCACTCACCTCACTGACCCACACACTCACCCACTCACCCCACCCACCCACCCACTCACTCTATCACTCACCCACCCACCCACTCACCCACTCACCCACCCACTCACCCACCCACTCACTCACCCACTCACTCACCCACTCACCCACTCCTCACCCACCCACTCACCACCCACCCACCCACTCACTCACCCACCCACCACCCACTCACTCACCCACCCACCCACCCACCCACCCACTCACTCACCCACTCACTGACACTCTCACTCACTCATTCACTCACTCACTCACCACTCACCCACTCACTCACCCACCCACTCACTCACCCACCCACCCACTCACCCACCCACCCACTCACTCACCCACCCACACACCCACCCACCCACCCACTCACTCACCCAAAACTCACTCACTCACCCACTCACTCACCCACTCACCCACTCACTCACCCACCCCACCCACCCCACCCACTCACTCACCCACCCACCCACCCACTCACACACCCACCCACCCACTCACTCACTCACTCACCCACACCCACCCACACCCACTCACTCACCCACCCACCCACCCACCCACCCACCCACTCACTCACCCACTCACCCACCCACCACCCACCACCCACCCACCACCTACCCACCCACTCACTCACTCACACCCCCACTCACCCACTCACTCACCACGCACTCACTCACCCACCCACCCACTCACCCACCCACCCACCCACTCACTCATCACCCACCCACCCACCCATCACTCACCCACCCACTCACTCACCACTCACTCACCCACCCACTCACTCACCCACTCACCACCCACCCACTCACCCACCCACCCATCACTCACTCACCACCCCCACAAACTCAGTCACCCTCACCCACCACACTCACCCACTCACTCACCCACCCACCCACCCACTCACCCACTCACCACTCACTCACCCACTCACCCACTCACTCACCCACTCACCCACCCCCACCCACCCATCACCCACTCACTCACCCACTCACCCACGCATCACTCACTCACCACCCACCCACTCACTCACCCACCCACTCACTCACCCACTCACTCACTCACTCACCCACTCACTCACCCACTCACTCACCCACTCACTCACTCACTCACCCACTCACTCACCCACGCACTTGCCCCTACAGCCCTGCTGGAGGCTACCTGGGCGACATAAGTATCGTCATCTTTGTGTGTGCGTGTGTCTCTTTGTCTCTCTGTGTGTGTGTCTGAGTGCATGTGTCTCTGTGTGTTTGTGTCTTTGTCTCTCTGTGTGTGTCGGAGTGCATGTGTCTGTGTGTGTGTGTCTTGTCTATCTGTGTGGTCTGAGTGCATGTGTCTGTGTGTGTGTCTCTTTGTCTGGGTGTGTGTGTGTCCTGAGTGCATGTGTCTCTGTGTGTTTGTGTCTTTGTCTCTCTGTGTGTGTCTGAGTGCATGTGTCTGTGTGTGTGTCTTTGTCTATCTATGTGTGTCTGAGTGCATGTCTCTGTGTGTGTGTGTCTCTCTGTGTGTGTGTCTGAGTGCATGTGTCTCTGTGTGTTGTGTCTTTGTCTCTCTGCGTGTGTCTGAGAGCATGTGGTGTGTGTGTGTGTGTGTTGGTGCATGTTCTGTGTGTGTGTGTCTCTGTTGTGTGTGTCTGAGTGCATGTGTCTCTGTGTGTTTGTGTCTTTGTCTCTCCTGCGTGTGTCGAGAGCATGTGTGTGTGTGTGTGTGTCTGTGTGTGTGTGTCGGAGTGCATGTCTCTGTGTGTGTGTGTCTATGCGTCTCTATGTGTGTGTGTGTCCTGAAGTGCATGTGTCTGTGTGTGTGTCTATTGTGTGTCTGTCTGGGTGCAGTGTGCTGTGTGTGTGTGTGTCTGAGTGCATGTGTGTGTGTGTCTCTTTGTCTCTCTGTGTGTGTCTGAGTGCAGGGATGTTGTCCATGTGCTCGTACAAGCCAAAGGTCTCTAGGAGACATTGACCCGCAGTAACCTCGACGACTTTCTCTCTCCCACTTAGACACGGGGAGAGACACAGAGACACACACAGAGACACACACACAGACACACACACATAGAGAGACACACACACATAGACACCAGACACACACACACACCGAGACATCACACACACAGAGACACACACACCGACACACACACAGAGACACACACACACAGACACAGATAGACAGACACACAGACACGCACACACACACACACACACAGACACACAGACACACACACAGACACACACAAAGACACGCACACAGACACACACACACATAGACACACACACATAGACACACACATAGACACACACAAAGACACACACACAGACACACACACAGACACACACACAGACACACACACACAGACATAGACACACACACACAGACACACACACAGACACACACACACACATAGACACACACAAATAGACAGACACACACACAGACACACACACAAACAGACACACACAAAGACACGAGTGTTTTATCTTAGTTGGAAAGTCTCGCTTACGGCTTTAATCGGTGTGCATTCATCTCGTGGGGTACACTTTTAAATTGTTCCTTCTGTGGTACACTTTGGAAATGTGCCTCTGGGATGCACTTTGCAACAACAACAACAATTTGTATTGAAATGCAGATTCATTGGGTGCACTCTGAGAAAGTGCGTTTTGTTCAAAGTTTAAATTAATTGGGTACACGCTGAGAAAGTGCACACGTATTGGCACGTGGACCACGTGGTACAATTTGAAAAAAAAATTGGGTACACTTTAAAAAAGCATCAATTGGGTGCACTTTTAAAAGGTACATATTGGGAAAAATTTGAAAATATTCCAATTGTGTACACTTTGAAAAAGCACCAATTGTGTACACTTTGAAAAAGCGCCAATTGTGTACACTTTGAAAAAGTACACTGTGTTGAAATACAAACTAATGTTGGGTACACTTTGAAAAAAAGAAAAATACGCATTAAATGGTGACACTTAGAAATAGTCCGTTGTGTTGAATTTTAAATTAATCTTATTGGGTGCACTTTTTCAACGACACATTTACGTCATGATACTTTCTCATTGGGTACACGTTGAAAAAGCGCCTCTTATTTACAATACAAATTGGGTGCATTTTGAAAAGGGGGGAGTTTGGTGTGTTTGCATTGAAACGTGAATTCATTGGGTACACTTTGAAAAGTTAAGCATTTAGTGAAATTGCCACTCAATTGGGTACACTATGAAAAAGTGCAACTTGGGTGCACTTTGAAAAGTGGTTGCGTCGCGTTGAAACATTCATTGATTGGGTACAATAATTGTTTTTTTACCTTCTATCTGGCAACAAAACTGACACCTTTTTTACGAGGAGTCATGTTTGCATAGACCACAATACCTGCAGTCGTAATGCAAACAAAACACACAACTCTGATAATGTATGTGCACTGTCCTTGAAGTTGATTGGTCCACACCCGAGACAGCTTTCCTTAGAGCCTAGTCTCACATGGTCCTTGAAGTTGATTGGTCCACACCCGAGACAGCTTTCCTTAGAGCCTAGTCTCACTTGGTCCTTGAAGTTGATTGGTCCACACCCGAGACAGCTTTCCTTAGAGCCTAGTCTCACATGGTCCTTGAAGTTGATTGGTCCACACCCGAGACAGCTTTCCTTAGAGCCTAGTCTCACATGGTCCTTGAAGTTGATTGGTCCACACCCGAGACAGCTTTCCTTAGAGCCTAGTCTCACATGGTCCTTGAAGTTGATTGGTCCACACCCGAGACAGCTTTCCTTAGAGCCTAGTCTCACATGGTCCTTGAAGTTGATTGGTCCACACCCGAGACAGCTTTCCTTAGAGCCTAGTCTCACATGGTCCTTGAAGTTGATTGGTCCACACCCGAGACAGCTTTCCTTAGAGCCTAGTCTCACATGGTCCTTGAAGTTGATTGGTCCACACCCGAGACAGCTTTCCTTAGAGCCTAGTCTCACATGGTCCTTGAAGTTGATTGGTCCACACCCGAGACAGCTTTCCTTAGAGCCTAGTCTCACATGGTCCTTGAAGTTGATTGGTCCACACCCGAGACAGCTTTCCTTAGAGCCTAGTCTCACATGGTCCTTGAAGTTGATTGGTCCACACCCGAGACAGCTTTCCTTAGAGCCTAGTCTCACATGGTCCTTGAAGTTGATTGGTCCACACCCGAGACAGCTTTCCTTAGAGCCTAGTCTCACATGGTCCTTGAAGTTGATTGGTCCACACCCGAGACAGCTTTCTTAGAGCCTAGTCTCACATGGTCCTTGAAGTTGATTGGTCCACACCCGAGACAGCTTTCCTTAGAGCCTAGTCTCACATGGTCCTTGAAGTTGATTGGTCCACACCCGAGACAGCTTTCCTTAGAGCCTAGTCTCACATGGTCCTTGAAGTTGATTGGTCCACACCCGAGACAGCTTTTCTTAGAGCCTAGTCTCACATGGTCCTTGAAGTTGATTGGTCCACACCCGAGACAGCTTTCCTTAGAGCCCAGTCTCACATGGACCTTGAAGTTGATTGGTCCACACTCAAGACAGCTTTCCTTAGAGCCCAGTCTCAACCAATGGTAGTGTTAGTATCGATGATGATGTGTCATTATCGATGATGATGATGATGTGTCATTATCGATGATGATGATGCATTGTCTTTGAAACAGATTGGTCCACACCCGAGACAGCTTTCTTTAGAGCCCAGTCTCAATCAATGATAGTGTTAGTATTATTGATAATGTGTCATCATCGATGATGATGATGATGTGTCATTATCGATGATGATAATAATGTATGCACTGTCCTTGAAGTTGATTGGTCCACACCCGAGACAGCTTTCCTTAGAGCCTAGTCTCACATGGTGTTGGACCAGATGACGCCAAAAGGCACGTAAAAAAAGATGTCAGTTTTGTTGCCAGATAGAAGGGTAAAAATCAATTATCATATTTTTACTGGCAAATGAGGTTCCAATGGTGTAAATGCTTCACCCCGAGCTCTCATACTCTGATGGTGCATTGTCTTTGAGTTGTGCACCTTTTGGCGTCATCTGGTCCAACACCATGTGAGACTAGGCTCTAAGAAAAGCTGTCTCGGGTGTGGACCAATCAACTTCAAGGACCATGTGAGACTAGGCTCTAAGGAAAGCTGTCTCGGGTGTGGACCAATCAACTTCAAGGACCATGTGAGACTAGGCTCTAAGAAAGCTGTCTCGGGTGTGGACCAATCAACTTCAAGGACCATGTGAGACTAGGCTCTAAGGAAAGCTGTCTCGGGTGTGGACCAATCAACTTCAAGGACCATGTGAGACTAGGCTCTAAGGAAAGCTGTCTCGGGTGTGGACCAATCAACTTCAAGGACCATGTGAGACTAGGCTCTAAGAAAGCTGTCTCGGGTGTGGACCAATCAACTTCAAGGACCATGTGAGACTAGGCTCTAAGGAAAGCTGTCTCGGGTGTGGACCAATCAACTTCAAGGACCATGTGAGACTAGGCTCTAAGGAAAGCTGTCTCGGGTGTGGACCAATCAACTTCAAGGACCATGTGAGACTAGGCTCTAAGGAAAGCTGTCTCGGGTGTGGACCAATCAACTTCAAGGACCATGTGAGACTAGGCTCTATGGAAAGCTGTCTCGGGTGTGGACCAATCAACTTCAAGGACAGTGCATATACATTATCAGAGTTGTGTGTTTTGTTTGCATTACGACTGCAGGTATTGTGGTCTATGCAAACATGACTCCTTGCAAAAAAAGTGTCAGTTTTGTTGCCAGATAGAAGGTAAAAAACAATTATCATATTTTGCTACTGGCAAATGAGGTTCCAATGGTGTTAATGATTGGGTACACACTCTTGGAAAACGCACTTTGAAATGCGAAAAGTTTATTGAAATCGGCATTGAATGGGTACACTTGTAAGGAAAAGTCGTATTTAAAAGCAGTCTAAATGGTGCGCTTTGAAAAGATTTGCGTGTAAATATGAACGTTTGATTTGGGTGCATTTTGAAAAATAAAAGTGCATTGCGATGCTCATTCAATGGGTACGCCTTCTAAAAGGGCGATGATTTGGGTACACTTTGAAAAAGCGGTTGTATCGAAAATAAAATTGGGGTTGCACTTTGAAAAAAAAAGTTACTCATTGGGTACACTTTGGAAAAGTACGCTATTGGGTACACTTTGAAAAGTACGTATTTGGGGAAACTTTGAAAAAGTGCAATTGGGTACACTTTGAAAAAGTGCAATTGGGTACACTTTGAAAAAGTCAGATTCTGGGTGCACTTTGAAAAAGTACCAATTGGGTACACTTTGAAAAAGTACAATTTTGGGTACACTTTTAAAAAGTAAGAATTTGAATACACTTTTAAAAAGTAAGGATTTGAATACACTTTGGAAAAGTACGAATTTGGGTACACTTTGAAAAAGTAAGAATTTGGGTACACTTTTAAAAAGTAAGA